CTCTCACTATAGCAATGAAATTTTTAATCTACTTTAGAATTGCCCAGATAATCAATTCTCAACTACTTGGAGTCTCATTATTTCATCCCCACTTTAAAGGTTCTTTTCTTTTCTAACTCTTCCTATTCAACGTAATGCCTTCCTTATCCTTATTTTCTTGCCAGGCATGATTACTGTGAGTCTTATCTTTTCCTTGGTGATAAATTAAAGCTAAAAAAGAAGAGTTAAGAAAACGAATTTTTAAACTCAGCACTGCCCATTCTTGAGTCTCTGATTGGTCTCCACTCATTTTACTGCCAAAATGTTGCTTTAGCCATGTGAATGTTTTCCACCACTATTTTGAGTAACAGGAATACCATCTAGCAGATGGCTTTGAGTTCTTGTCACTGAGATATATTTTTGTATTTTGTTATGTGAGACACTCATGGTAGGGAACAACTCAAGTGAGACCCATGTCCAATTCCCCTTTATAATGGATGAAAGACAGGAGGAAAAGAGGGTATTCCTACCAAAGACCAAATTCCAGCACATAAAGGTAGGGTTTCAACTTCTGTCAAAAAAATACAACTTTCAGTATTTCCTAAAAACATCAGATGACTTGATAATTTTATTATTCATTACAATTCTCATCCTTGCAAACATTATTCTAGAATTTATATATAGTACAAACTATTTCCAATCACACCATGTAGGCACAAAAAAGGAAACAAGTATAAATCATATAAAAGAAGAATAAAGCACAAGAATTCTTAGATTAGAACTACACCTGATGACAATATTAAAAACTGATCTACAAATCTACAAAATTATATGAAAGATTAATATTTTGTCTAAATTCAGCTAAAAGTGGAAGCCATTTTGTAAATACCTAGAGAATGAATCTTGAGAAGGAAAAAGAAAATTTAAGGAAAAATGTAAGCCGTCTTTCGACTCAAATTTAGAAGAACTGAAATCTGAAATGTGTAAAATTCACTTTCATAGAACGTATATAAAGCAAAATTGTGGAAAGCTAAAGTCAACAATTTCCAAAGAATTATCCACACAGAAGCAGCTATGGTTGCTAGTCCTCTCCCCTTCCCCGAACTAGATTTTAAAAGGTTAAATCCCAAAAACAAGGACTATGTTTATTTGGTCCCTCCTTTGCCCTTCCCCCCACATTTCATCTCCCATTAGATACATGATATATTTTTAAACCATATGAACAAATGAACCTTAAAATAGTACTTTTTTTTGAGACAGAATCTTGCTCTGTTGCCCAGGCTGGAGTTTAGTGGTGTGATCTTAGCTCACAACAACCTCTGCCTCCCGGGCTCAAGGGATTCTCCTGTCTCAGTCTCCAGGATAGCTGGATTTACAGGTGCCTGCCACCAAAGCTGATTAATTTTGTACTTTTGTGGAGATGGGATTTCACCATAGTGGCCAGGCTGGTCTCGAACTCCTGACCACAGGTGATCTGCCTGCCTCGGCCTCCCAAAATGCTAGGATTATAGGTGTTAACCACGGTGCCTGGCCTGAAACTGCATTTCTTCTAATACAGGCAATACAGTCTCTATTATGCCGTTGCCCAAAATAACAATGAGTCTGGAGAAAACAAGGGGAGTTAAAGCTTTTGTTTCTGGCACAGGACACAGTTAAGTTGTGCTACTGGCTCAGACTCTTCTTGGTTGAAGAGCATTCTCTCATCATTTGCACAACTTTAGTGCAATAACTGACGAATATTTGAAAGTCTAATCACCATTAAATCCAAAAACCCCTTGGTAAGACAGTTATTAAGATACATGCTCAGCAACATGGTGAAACCCCATCTCTACTAAAAATACAAAAAAACAACAACAACAACAACAAAAAATTAGCTGGGCGTGGTGGTGAGCGCCTGAAGTCCCAGCTACCCTGGAGGCTAAGGCAGGAGGGAGAATCGCCTGAACTCAGGAGGCGGAGGTTGCAGTGAGCCAAGATCGCGCTACTGCACTCCAGCCAGGCAATAGAGCAAAAATACATCTCCAAAAAAAAAAAAAAAAAGGAAAAATACATACTCGGTCACTGGTGGTTCCTGAACAAACGGATAGTATGTGGCTGAAGAGCTGGGGAAGACACATGCTTCTGAGGACTCTAACCATGCCACATTGAGGCCGGCAAATCTGGGGACGAACGGTTTGACATCTGCTGATAACTTGATGCCCTGAGTAAAAAATTAGGTTTTGGGTACAAACATTCAGAGATTAAGCAAATCTAAACAAACAAGCAAAACCAAGGAGGTGTTCCTAACAGACCCAGAAATGTTCCCAATGTTGTTCAAAAACTTCTGCCTTGTAAGGGCAAGAATCTCCTTGCTAATGATTTCTCCCCAATGTTTTCTTGTTAGAAAAGGCAGTAGTCCAAATATTAAAAGTGAAAAAGAAGCACAACCAATTAAAGTGGAAATAAAACTTAACCCAGATTATTTAGTTAACACCACAACTGACAACGTTTCCATAATTTTAATCTCGGAATAAGAGATTCAGTTAGAAATAACAAAACTGTAGAAAGCACACAGTACAACTACTACAGTCAAATATACACGTGGAATGTTTAACTACAGCACGCAAAACACACTGCAGACGTTCGTTTTCATTAGATTTTCTTGAAAAAGTTGCACAAAAGCATTTGCGCTTTACTCATGAACCACTAAGTCTTGTTTTATTGAAATATCAAAGCTTGCTTTGCTAGAAAACCTTATCACCACGGGTCTTTGAAATCTAAATTCAATAAATTTCTTTATTGAATTTTTTTAGTTACGTAGTAAGAGATTCACTTTCACCGAGAATTTTATGAGTCTAAAAGTAATGCATTCGATCAACAGGGCTCCATCTCGTGGCAATGCTGAGTATGTACAGAGGAGAATGACTTCTAGGAAAACGCAAGGTCCTTTAACACAATCTAACAGTTCCCAAGAACGCGGGAAGCTTGCCAGAACCCCCCCCCACCCCGACCGCGGGGAGCGCGGGGCAGGGAGGCAGTCACTGCTCTTAGTGACACCGCACGGTAGACGCGGCGCTAACTGTGGGCGGGGTCTGCGGCCACTGACCACCACCCCAAGGCGGGCCCGGGGCGGGGCGCGGAGATAGCGGCCACCCGGTAGGGCGCTGCCGTGCCGTTACCAGCCTCCGACCCACGCCCGTCGGACCAGCCCCGTCACGGCCCGACCGAGCCCCCAGTGGGAGGCAGGCCGTCGGCGCGGGCAGCCCTTACCTCGCTTTCAGGCTCCCGCAGCCCCTCCGACGCCATGGTGCGAGGCGTGGAGGAGGCCGCGCCGGGGTGGCCAGGAACCGGCCGTCGGCTGGCCTGAAAGACAAAGCGTTTCCGCCCTCGCAGGCGACGCCAGGAAGTACGTCATAGAAAAGCGGCAGAGCCCGCCCTTCCTTCCGGCCGGAAGTACGCGGCGGCGGTGGCACTGGACCTGCGCGGGCCGCACGTGGAGAGCAGTGGGGACCGTGAGGGAGGTCCAGACCCCAGGAATCCTTTGGGCTGGGTACTCACCGTAGCTTACGGGAGCCTCAGATGTGCCCTTTAGTGCTGGGATAGCCGAGATAGTCTCCATCAAGGCAGCAGCGAGAGGCCGTGATTTACTCTGGTCCCCTGAACCTCACGAGTCTAGCGTTAGGGCGGCAGATAGCCCGGAAAGGCCTTTCGCTGAGGTGACCTTTGAGAAGTCACCAGAAGTGGAAGGAGGTTTACTAATAAGGAAGCCGAGATTATTCCCACCCCCACCACTGCATTTCCCTAAAGTTTCCTCAAGATTGGTGACTTACAGGAATTGCATACCCTTTCTTACAAATCTGGAAAGCCTCCAAACTCCTGTAAATTTCCAGAAACGCTGAGTTTGGAAGTAGGCACAGAAAACTTAAAACTCGCTTGTTTCTTTCGAAAATTAAAAAAAGTGCTAAGACATGGCAAGAGATGGAAGCGTAGTTTAATTTTCACGAGGGAAAAAAGCTCTACACACAGCAAATTAGTTAAAATAACTTTTGTCTTAAACATGTAAGGCGAGGCGGGGATTGGAGGTTGACCAAAGGTACAGGAAAGAATGCAGACTTCAATAGGTGGAAGAGGAACTTCTCGCTCAAAGGTTTAGAGGAAAGTGCAAGGGGATTTAAGAAACAGTAAATGTTATAGTTTGCCTCAACCTAATAAGGCAAGCCTTTTGAGGAATGGGAAATTTATTAGGTTGAGGCAAATTGTAGGTTTCCTCCGTCCCTTGCACAGACTAACTCTACCATTGAATACCAAGGATTTCAAGCAAGTAAGGCAGGCGCAGCTCCAGTTTTTCCAGATTTCTGTCCAAGTATGTCCCAGTTTGCTACACACCCTCTAACAAAAGTGAACCTTAGGGTCTGGTCTGGCAGGAATTTATGCTGGGAGTGGTGACTGTCACCTTCCTTTCAGCACTATTGGGTCCAAGATGTAATGAAGTTTACTTAATTTTGTCATGTTTGTTAGTTACCCTGGACACTAACAAACTGTCCTGTGGTGGTGGCAGTGATGTGGGGGAAGTAGATTTTAGGAATGTTGCTAATCACAACCTTCAAAATTTACTGCTCTCATGTATAAAGATACACTTTCTTAACCAAGGGACCTTGTGTATGCTGGCTGCTCATTTAAGATGTTTCTATAGCATAGTCATTAGGATGAACAGCCTACGTCTGCATTTAACTCAAACATTTCGTAGGAGCTAAAAAGGCAAACGTGTTTTACAGTGCTTTTGAACTTCTAAAAATACGGTGATAACATGTAAAACTACTGTGAAAATTTGGTAAAATCTACTTTGGCGTTAAACATATCCCTGGTTCTTAATTTCTTCATTAAGTGAGTTAGTTAAATGGTATCCCTATCATATCATGCTATTTTAAACTCATTTAACATTATCTTTAAGGTAACTTCCTCAGAGCTAAAACTGTAACACTGAAATCAATCTCAATAGTCACAAATTAACTGTAAGAAAATATACCTCAGAAATGTGAAACTGTGATAAATGCAACATACAAACTTTATTGAACAAAAGTAACAGGTAAAGTCGAACAGTCACTTAATATTAAGAGAAAAACTGGAAGAACTTTTAAACATCTTAACAGTAACCTAGTTGCAGTTGCATTTAACTGAGCTCTGTTGCTGTGAAGAATACAGCTCATGCACAGGTATGGATGAAAGATTTGTACATTTCTCAAGTATTCACTGAATACTACCTTATATACACATAAACATTAAATTTGAAAAAGATTTGACATTCCCCAGGTAAACTTCATTTTTGTTGATCTTTTGGAAGAGGTCGTCTAAACAGAAGAATATGTGGTTCTGTGGAAAGAAAATGTTTTGTATCATTTTAATATGGTTTCCATATACTCAACAGAAATTCAAATGCATTCTCAACTAAACCAGAATAAAATAAACTAAGTCCACTATTAACTGGTTTGAGGTATCTAAAATGAATTTTACTTCAAAGTTACTGTCTACAGTAAACAAAAGTAAGATCACCTCTTTATAGGGGAAAACACCTCTTTCAATCACCTTACAAGATCTCATACTAATGGGTAATCCCTGCAAATTCTGTTTCACATACTCCAATCCCAAGAAAGTGACAGTCCTTTTAGTTTTTGATGCAATGTTTTTCTTTAACAGCAGAGTAGAAAGCAAGATAGTTTTAGTTCTACCTACTTCAGCTTCTATAGTAGGTCTTCAGAGTTAGATTTACTGATAATCCAAAAATAGAATTTAATCCACACTGTTTTAGTATCGTTTACTATTTAATATGTGAAAAACTTTTGGTAAATACCACATAATAGCATAAGGTACCCATAAGCACATTTGAGTTAATATGCTATTACCTCATTTAAACTTTATGTGGTAGATAACTATCCTTTAAGAGGGCTGAAGAGTGACTCACTTTAAATTAAATCGATATCCACACATAGAAAAGAACACTTGTCTTAGGATGTATTTATAGTAAAATGCTTCGGGATACTTACTATCAACGATGATACAGATTTTAAAACATATATATTTTTCAAAATTTACTTTTTACATGATTTTTCAAGTAGAATAATGCATTACTTTCACTCCTGTGGTATTTTATTTACCAGAAAATTGGAACTCTCTCCAGCGTCAAGAAATTAGTCAGTTAAAAAACAGTCAAGGCTGCGTGCCAGGGCTCATGCCTGTAACTCAGCACTTTGGGAGGCTGAAGTGGACAGATCAAGAGGTCAGGAGATCAAGACCATCCTGGTCAACACAGTAAAATCCCATCTCTACTAAAAATACAAAAAAAAAAAAAAAAATTAGCCGGGCGTGGCAGCACTTACCTATAGTCCCAGCTACTACTCGGGAGGCTGAGGTAGGACAATCACTTGAACCCAGGAGGCGGAGATTACAGTGAGCCAAGATTGTGCCACTGCACTCCAGCCTCGGAGACAGAACAAGACTCCGTCTCAAAAAAATAAAAATAAAAATAAACCCAAAGAACCATCAATCAGAAGAGTTACTTTGAGGTATCATTCAACGTCAATATTTTAAAAATTCTGATAGCCATACCAATATTTCAACAATTAGTGCTTTTACTATAATATAGCAAAGCTTACCTGGCTCATGAATCATGTAATGAACCCAGCCTAGACTCTGTTGGACACCAAGTCTCCTCCACTCCTCTTCAGACATCAGATGAGTTTTAGGTACTTGTTTGGAAAGTTCTCTGGGTAACATAACATGCCTGTTAAAAGATATAGTCAAGTATTAGTCCAGTTCCTTGTCTACAATTGTCTCTTTATACATGTACCTTTAGCAACTCTATGTTGCTTTAATATTGAGAACTACACTCTACTACCTATAATTCTAATTTGTGATGGCCTGTGTTCAAATTAGGGAGCTAAGAGTGCACAATTCAAAAGCAGAAGGCATTTTCCTTAGGATTAATTATTTTCTCTTAACAGAATGCTTACTAGTTTCCTTAATCTTCAGGAATAGAACCTCAAAATATAAGCTGAGCATATGGTTACCAGCCGCCAAGTCATAAGCCAACAAGATGTAAGAAAATATTTAACTTATGTGGAAAGTGTTCTCAAAGGTAAAGAACATGCTGAACTCTTTTTCCTTCTTGTTGAATGCACATTAATATGATAAGGGAGCCAGAGCAGGAATCCAGGACCATAGAAGCCACTGTAAATTGAGAATGGTAAAGCAACGAGGTAAGGATCCAGCCTAGTCCCTGGCTGTAGAGCTGTTATCCCTGCCCCACATTATTAGATTTTTATGTAAGGAAAAAGTCTGTTACAGTTAATTTGGGTTTCCTCTTACTCAACATAGCTTTGTAGTAGCTACTAGTCCTTGTATGCTCCAGAAGTTGCTTTATACAATATTAAAAACAGAAAACCACTAACTGCACATACACATTGTTTGCAACCTCAGTTTTCCAGTTAACTTACTGACTTATATCCAAAATTTACATTGTTCAGTTTCTTAGGCAAGCATGGAATAACCTTCAAAGTTAAACCATCAATATGTACAATTGTAGCCTTATGAAATTCTCAAAAACAAATCATTGTTAATAGCATCCCACAGCATTTTGTCAAAGATTTGCCAAATGAATCTTTTCAAATTGAATAAGAATTTTTACTCAATTATCATTAAAAAGGACTTTATAAATAAAGTCACAATTCTCGGCCCCATATCGACCATCTCCAGAAGTAGTAACAGTTTTTAACTGTTTTATACTTTATAACCACGAGCCCAAATTTTTTACCAGTGTTAAGATATCTGTCTGAGTCAGCTGGCTAGCAATGAATGAGGTGCAATATGGTCACATTCAGACACAGTAAACTGAATGCCTAACCCATTATAAGCACCAAGCCATCATCAACTTAAATTTAGTCTGTGGCTGGTTATTTAAGTACCAATTTATTTGCAGGGCAAAGTGGGCCTCAGAAAAATTCTATTATGTTGTTCGATTGCCTTAAAGCCACCAAGTCATAGGTTACTACCATAATTTGTACAGTTTTTACCAATTCCAGTGAACTATATGGTGACTTTTAGTAGTTCTTACCAGTTATCACCCACATTCTTGAAATGCTGCTTTAACATCTAACTTTTAAAGCTCTACAAATAAATCTGTTATCTTATTTCTATCTTCTATATTGATTATTCTCAAAGAGAAATATAGTGCTTTTGTACCTTTTCTTTCAGATTTACAGAGTAAGTAAATCTACCAACAAGTTATTTAGATAGAAATTACCACGCTTTTCTCCATAAACACAGAAACATGCTCTCCTCCATCAGCGTTTCTTTTTAAAGGAAAAATGTTTAAGTAGCATCCAGCCCATATGAGGATTCTAACTGTATTTTGCCATAGAGATAGTTTGCAAACTAACTACACGTAAGGACAATTATTTCAAAAAATCTAACGTTTATTTCAGTCGACATGCAAAACAGTGCTAAATTTATAAAGCTTCCCAGAGAAATCCTCAGTTCTTTGCCTGTAAAAACAGACTTCCATGATGTGGGGGTGGGGGCACCCACTGTTACATGCCCTTAGAAACATAAGACCCTCATGTAAAAGGACTAGGAAATTAATTTTGTAATCAAGAAAAATCAAAGAAAACTGCACACTGGCAAAAATACTATCCTTTGAAATATACATTGCATGCTGCCCCATTATATATTAATACAAACCACCCTAGATTCATGCCTTAGTGTTATATTATCACTAGTTTCCCCTTTATTTGTGGAGATTACTATCCTGTTTCATAAAGGTTAGTGGCTTGGTCATTTAATACCAGCTCTAATTTTTATTGGATTAAAATAAATCACTTCAGATATGTAAACTTGCTTCTATACATTCCACAAACAAATCAGCTGAGTATATTAAAACTAAAATATGGACTTACTGCCATCAGAAAGAAGTCTGAGAAATCGCTTGATTTTCAATATGCCCTAAAAGAAACTCATACCAACTTTTAAATCCTTATCCTAAACACTTGGCACTAGATGCGTTTCAGAATAATTTTCCAGGTTTTAGTAAGGTTATGGTTTTACATTGCGTTCATTATTAACGATCCTCAATAAGGCTCTTAACATCACATAATTGAACACTAGGCCAGCATATTACATGATTAAAACTGTATAGTTTAGTATTACTACAAGGTTAAGACAATCTACTTGAAATTTACCTACAGCCAGAAAAAACATGAGATTTTTCTAGTTAGGAATACAAAAGGGTGCAATTATTACTACCCATAGAAATCTTCAGTATTCCTTATGTGAAAACAGACTTCCATGCTTGTAGGGAGGGGGAGAAAAAGAGAAGCCACCCACTGCTGTTTTATTTCTTCCTTAAATAGCATTCGTAGAAATCGAACCTACAAGGGCAGCAGACAGAAAATAAGGTCGAAATTTGGCCAACGATGGCATGGGCTTTACCTCCCCTAAATCCTGGTAGTATCCCAGAATACAACGTTCTAGTCACTACCTAGTAGGACAAGGGGTTGACTGGTCTTTGAAGCCACGCCCTAAATGAGTGTCCCGAATACAATAAGGACAACAAATTTTAAATGTCCCTAACCCCTTCTCCCAGAAACATTTAAAATTTGTCTAATTTTACGGATCGATTATAACCACTACGTTCTAGTACATCGCTTCAGGACTCAAATGCAAAAGTTCCTCGAAGCCAAAAATTTGGCCAGTGTACACTAGCAGAAAATAATGCCCAAAGTCCACTCAAGCTCTTAATCGGCCTTAAAATGAAACTCCTTTAATAATGTCCTCAATTGTATGTCTGCGGCTAACCTATAATGGCCTAAATCACCATACCCAATAAACATTTTCAAATCCCCATCAAGCTCATTATTTTTCGGGGTTCCCCTAAAAATGAAAAAACATTTTCTTGTTTTTAGTGAGTACCACTCACTCCAAAAACAAGAAAATGAGGTGTGTTCCTCTATGCTAACAGATGAAAATTACCACTGTAAACCAGAAACTAGTAAAAGTTCCATCACCCAGGCAGCGAAGCGGGAGAGGTGTGCGACATGGCTGCGAACGGAAAACGACGGCTCTAGGTGGGTTTTCCGGGTCTGGTTCAAAGAGCTGGAACTGAGACCAGTTACTAAACGGTCTAATTTCTTCTGCCACAGCCGAGAGGAGAAGGACCGCACGGTCACTCGGCGTCGCCCAGGACCCCGGGCCCCTCAAGTTGCGCTGGTTCCTAAACGCCGCCCGCTGCGCGCTCTTCCCTCACCCTCCGCGTACACCTAACAAAGGCCCAACCGGCCGGGTGCGGCCGCGCACCCAACTTCGGCGGACTGCCGGGAGCAACAGGAGGCAGCGACCACCAACCCCATCCCTAGCCCTCCGGCTCCGGGCTCCGCCCCCAGGCCCCTGGCCCCCACTCCCTCTTCGGCTTTGGTCGCCCCGCCCGCGGGGGGCCCCGGCTAAGGGAGCCGGCTCGGGGTCGGAGAAAGCCGCTCACCGGTACTCGTAGTGCTCGTCGAAGTACTTGTCCGAGTAGTAGATCTGCTTGTGGGCCATCCTGCCGGCGGGCTGATGGAAATGAGAGAGCACGAAGCGGGAACAGCAGACAACTCGCACACGTCTGCTCAACGCAACGACTCGCTAGAGACTAACGACCGCAGTCCCAACGATCCCGATTTGAATCCGACAGCCCGCCGCCGATTGGACAGCAGCGCCGGCCAATCACCTTCTGCGGAAGTCAACCGGCTACCAGCCTATCGTCGCCGCCACCTCGCGGTTTCGGCTTCCCGGATCAGCCAATTAGAGACCTGTTGCGAGGTTGCAGTTGGAAGAATTGGAGAATAGGTACGGCACGTTGGACGGGTAGGGGCGTGGCCAGAGGAGGGCGGAGTCGGGACGTTAAGGGCGGTAGAGCCCGTGCGCAGGACCGTGGAATGTTCCAGGACACGGAACGGTTGGAGCGGAGGACATGAGGGTTGAGTAAAGTATCACGGGGTTTGGTGATGACGCAGTCGGTCGAGGCCGGAAGCGCGGGCCACAAAGCTTTGAACGGAAGCTGTCTAGCTCGGTTTCGGCGCTCTTCGTGCGCCTTATATCCCCTCAGGCTGGAGCCAGAAGCCTCGGTCCACTTTGAAAAGTAGTAGAAAACAGAAAGGCTCTGCGGTGTGAGGGGAGGGCGGCTGCGGTGTCTGATCGGTGAGGGGAGCGCCGGCGGCCACAGCGTGGCTGTGTCCCGCGCAGCCGTTCCGCCTCCCCTGCACTTGCTGAGGTTCCGGCCTGGCCAGTCCGGGGCTCCTAGCACGCCCCAGGCGAGTGTGTGGGGAATGGAGCCACGCGTAGTGGCGGCAAGCGCCAGTGGTCCCAGCCACTCGGGAGGCCGAGCGGAGGGTCGCTTGATCCCAGGAGTTCCAGACAGGCCTGGGCAACAGAGCGAGACCCGGTCTTTAAGTAAAGAAAAAAGAGATGGGCGTGAGACCCAGCATGCTTTCTGTAGCCTAATCTACTGTTCAAAACCGGGGCAGACCCAAGCCATGGAAAGCTTGAGGAAATAAAATAATGTTCTGCGGTGGCCAAGAATAACAGTGCTAAATAATTCCTGGGTAAGGGGATTAAAAATGATGTTTAAAAACTTTTGGTTTCTTAATATTGATCCTAGTTTAAAAACACATGTTCGACTGGGCGTGGTGGCTCACACCTGTAATCCCAGTACTCTGGGAGGCCAATGTGGGTGGATCACTTGAGGTAGGGAGTGCAGGACCAGCATGACCAACATGGAGAAAACCCGTGTCTATTAAAAATCCAAAATTAGCTGGGCATGGTGGCTCAAACTTGTAACCCCAGCTACTCGGATGGCTGAGGCAGGAGAATCTCTTGAACGTGGGAGGCGGAAGTGGTGAGCTGAGATCGCGCCATTTCTCTCCAGCCTGGGCAACAAGAGCTAAACTATGTATCAAAACAAAAACAAACAGAAAAAAAAGCACGTTTATAGAAAAGAAAGTTACTGGAAGAAACTTATGCCAAGATGTAAGTAGTGGTTGTTTTTAGATGACAGAATTGAAAGTGATCTTTCTGGTATTTTTCACATTTTCCACAATGAACACGTGCCATTTTTATATTAATTTCATTTTATGCTAATGGGTTCAGGGCGACTGTGACTAAAGAGACATAGACTGGTGGCATAGATGAAGTCCCCCAGACTAGATGCTGGAAGTGGGAGGTTTGGGAGCCAGCGAGGAGAGGGCTTTGTGGGAGCCCTTTTCCACACGGCAGATCACAGACAGGTTTTTGAACAAGTGAGGAAGCAGGCCCTCTAAGGCTATTTATAATCTGGATCCTGAGAGCCCCACTCTCATCTTGATTACCTCCCAAACGCCCCACCTCCTAACTTCCTAATACAATAATTGTGGGAAGAGGGTGTTTGAAATTTCTATTTTTTTTTTTTTGGAGCCAGTCTCACTTTGTTTCCCAGGCTGGAGTGCAGTGGTACAATCTCAGCTAACTGCAACCTCTGCCTTCAAGCCCTTCTCCTGCCTCAGCCTTCTGAGCAGCTGGGATTACAGGCCCCTACCAACATGCCCAGCTAGTTTTTGTATTTTTAGCAGAGACGGGGTTTTGCCACGTTGGTCAGGGTGGTCTCAAACTCCCATCCCCAAGTGATCCGCCCACCTTGGCCTCCCAAAGTGCTGGGATTGTCATAGGCATGTGAACCAGAGCAACTCCGTCTCAAACAGGAGCTGGGTAAGATGAGGCTAAAACCTATTGGGCTGCATTCCTAGACGGTTAAGGCCTTCTAACTCAAGGATGAAATAGGAGGTCAGCACAAAATACAGGTCATAAAGACCTTGCTGATAAAACAGGTTACAGTAAAGGAGCCAGCCAAAACCCACCAAAACCAAGATGGCGATGAGAGTGACCTCTGGTCGTCCTTATTGCTGCACTCCCACCAGTGCCATGACAGTTTACAAATGGCTTGGCAACTTCAGGAAGTTTCCCTATATGGTCTAAAAAGGAGAAGCATGAATAATCCCCCCCTTCTTTAATGTATCATCAAGAAATAACCATAAAAATGGGCAACCAGCAACCCTTAGGGGTCTATGGAGTAGCTATCCTTTTATTCCTTTAGTTTTTAAATAAACTTACTTTCACTTTGCACTGCGGACTCACCCTGAATTCTTTCTTGTGAGAGATCCAAGGACCCTCTCTTGGGATCTGAATCAGGACCCCTTTCTTGTAACAGAATTACAGGCATTAGCCAAGGCGCCCAGCCTGGAATTGCCACACACAGTTTGGTGGGTAGGAGCACACACACAGTCACACGATAGAATTCTTCAGGTGTCAGATTAAGGATTTCATCTTCTGAAAGGCCTTTCTTAATCACCTTCTCTAGAGAAAGTCCTTCAGTTTCCCCATTATGCCCTTGCCACAGACTCCACTTGCCTCCCACCGTTGCAATTGCATGTTTGCTTAGGTGGTGTTTGTCTCCCTATCTCCATTATAAAATATTCTCTGTGATGCCAGTGTAGAGACCATGTCTGTTTTGTTCACCACGTAGTGCCCAGCACATAGCAGAGTCCCTTGCACATGATAAGCACACAATGAGAAGTAAATTTTAGGTGCAGTGTAATAACATAAGCGTAAAAAATTCATATAATAATTACTATGATGGCAAAAATGTGAATAAACTTCTAGGAAAAATGCACAAGGAAATTACTTTCTGGTAGAACCTGGGGGAAGAAACTTCCTAGAAGATATATTTTTAAATAAATGTACAGATGCTCCTCAATTTACAATGGCATTACATCCTGACAGGTCAAAAAATTCTAAGTTGAACCATTGTAAGTCAGGGACCATCTGCATTGTGAAAATTTTCAAATACATGGAATAATGGAATCAACTCCCATGTACACGTTGTGCATCTGAATATCTGAAATGCTCCAAAATCCAAAACGTTGAGCAGCACTGACACGGGCTCAAAGGAGATGCTCATTGGAGTATTTCAGGTTGTCCAATTAGAGATACAGAACTGGTAAATAGAATGCCAATATTCCAAATTCCAAAAAAAACTGAAACACTTCTGGTCCCAGGTGTTTTGGGTAAGGGATACTCAACCTGTCCCAATCATTTAGCTTCAGCAATTACTGTTTGCCAATCATGTTTCATCTGTTCCCCTCTGTTTTTCTAGAGTATTAATGAAAAGATCCCAGATATGTCAGTTCACTGCTAAATAAAACTTTTCAGTGTATGTTTATGGCATGCATCTTAGGAATAATTTTAAAAAATACTTAACAATGTCATTATTACACTTAAGAGGTACTTAATACTCTCTGATAGCTGATTTAGACTCACATTTCTCTGACTGCCCCACCAGTGCTTTTTACAGTTAGTTTGACTCTGCTTTCAAACTTGGGCCTACATCTTGCATGTTGTTATCATCTCTTTTAGTCTTCTTTAAACAACCCTCCCACCACCCTCCCTCACATTACCCCTGCCACCTTTTTTTTTAACATCAGTTTGTCAAACCAGGTCATTTTTGCCTGTGGAACGTTCCACATTCTGGATCTGTGTAATTGTTCCCTTGTGATGCAGTTTCCCTGTTTTTTCTATTTCTTGTATTTGTTACAATCTGGCATTTAGATCTAGGTTAAAACAAAATAATTTACCAAAAATCCCTAGTAAGTGGCAGACTCATATTTGAACCCAAGCAGTCTGACTCCAGAGTTAGGCCTCTTAACCACTATTCTGTTGTCTCTTAGAGTTCCACAGGTAGATAACCAGGAGGGCCAGCACCATTTCAGTAGAAGCATTGGCAGTTGTGAAGGCGTGAGGAAACATGGTACACAGAGAAAATGCTGAACAGGTTGGGCTTAGATTGTAAAAATCATGGAAAGGAAAGTATGGGAAGTGAATGTAGGAGGTGAATGTGGTAGACAGAAAAATGTCTGTCTTCATCCATTTTCTGCTGGTGTAAAGGACTACCACAGCCTGGGTAATTTATAAAGGAAAGAAATTTCTTACAGTTTTGGAGGCTGGGAAGTCAAAGGGCCACATGTGGTGAAGGCCTTCTACCACATCATAACATGGTGGAGGGCATCCCATGGGGGGAGGGCAAAGTCGAACTGGCTGAGGTGTCTTTTCCTCTTCTTATAAAGCCATCAGCCCCATCGTGGGAGCCCTACCCTGATGACTTTATCTAATCTTAATTACTTCCCAAAGGCCCCACCTAAAAATACCATAAACATGTGAATTTGGGGATTAAATTTCCAACACATGAAATTTGGAGGACACATTCCAACCACAGCAGTTTGTGTCCTAATATTTGGTATTTGTGAATGTTACCTTAAACAGCAAAAGAGGCTTCACCGATGTGATTAAATTAAGGATTTTAAGATCAGGAGGTTATCCTGGATTATCAGAATGGTCAAATGTTATCAAAAGGGGCCTCAGAGGATGGAGAGAAGAGGGTCTGCGAAGGAGCTGGGATGAAAACAGAAGACAGAGTAATATGACCATGAGGCAAGTGTGTAGGCAGCTTTTTGAAGCTGGAAAAAAGAAAGAAATAATTTCTTCCCTAGAGTCTCCAGAGGGAACTCAGTCCTGCTGACATAATTTTAGCCTGGTCAGACCTGTTTTGGATGTCTGACCTCTGTACCTATAAACTACCTGTGACTAATGGAATATAAACATCCCAGTGTGATGTCCACTGCAGCTTTGTAATTGTAGATGCCCTTTCTCCTTTTAAGGATTTT